GCTTCAGTTTTTCGGTTTCTAAAATGGGTTTCAACTATTTGGCTTCTTCACAGAAGTATAGTTAAACTGGAAGAGTACTTTGAAAACACGTTGAAAAGACCTCGGTAAAAGTCACTATGTAATTATGCCTGCCACATATGCCACTACTGACTTAGAAAGGATGGGGTTTTTTGTTTTTTTCTTTTTTGAGACAGAGTCTTGCTCTACTGTGATCTCGGCTCACTGCAACCTCCGCCTTCTGGGTTCAAACAATTCTCCTGCCTCAGCCTCCCCAGTAGCTGGGACTACAGGTGCACACCACCACGCCCAGCTAATTTTTGTATTTTTAGTAGAGACAGGGTTTCACCATGTTGGTCAGGATGGTCACGAACTCCCGACCTCAGGTGATCCATCCATCTCAGCTTCCCAAAGTGCTGGGATTACAGGCGTGAGCCACAGCACCTGGCCAGGGATGGGATTTTAAAGTAATCATATAAATAAACTGAAATATCACTCAAATGTCTATTCATTTATAACTTTCCTATAGTTAAGTATTTACTTAAAGAACAAACGAACACTGTAGAAACTAGAGCAGCGGGCTCAAATGATAATGACCAAGGGAAGCAGGAGGAACCAGGCGTGGTGGAGTCCTGGGCAGACCTGTTACCCCACTCCGGCAGCCCAGCCCAGTGTGGGCTCTATAAAATCCCAGTACTGACCAGGGGCAGTGGCTCACGCCTGTAATCCCAGCACTTTGGGAGGCTGAGGCAGGCAGATCACCTGAGTTCGGGAGTTCAAGGCCAGCCTGACCAATAAGGAGAAACCCTGTCTCTACTAAAAATACAAAATTAGCCAGGCGTGGAGGTGCATGCCTGTAATCCCAGCCACACCGGGGGCTGAGGCAAGATAATTGCTTGAACCCAGGAGGCGGAGGCTGCAGTGAGCCAAGATCGTGCCATTGCACTCCAGCCCGGGCAACAAGAGTGAAACTCCGTCCTAAAGGTCAGGCCTTTCCCACCCTCCCTGGGCACTGCCTACCTCAGTCCCTGAAGACCTCCTCACTTCCCTACCCTCAGATGAAGAGACTAGATGTGCACAGACAGGCTTTTATCAGAGGACTGGATAACACAAACAACAGAGATGTGTGAGACGTCCAGTTCACGTCCTCAGTTAGATTTGTACAAGCTCAACACTCTGGGTAATGATATCCATAGATATCGTCACAGGTATGAGATTATAGACCATTCTTATTTTTTAAGGCACAAATTTATCGAGTTATGCTTTAGACACCACACAATTCACCCATTTAAAGTGTACAATTGGATAGGTTTCCATGTAGTCATAGCGTTGTACAACCATCACAACAATCAATTTTAGGACATTTTCATCATCCCCAAAGAAGTCTCATAATCTTATCAGTCACCCCCCATTCCCAATCTTCCCCAACCACAGCTCTTAGGCAACACTAATCTCCTTTCCGTCCCTATAGATTTGCCATTCTGGACATTTCAACGGAATCATGTAATATACAGTCATTTGTGACTGGCTTATTTCACTTAGCATAATGTTTTCTAGGTTCATCCGTCTCATAGCATATGTCAGAATTTCCTTCCTTTTTACTGATGCATAATATTTTGTTGTTTGAATATATCCTATTTGGTTTTTCCATTCATCAGTTGATAGACATTTGGGTTTGTCTTAGTTTTGTGCTGCTGTAATAGAATATCGCAGACGGGGTAATTTATAAATACTAGAAATTTATTTCTCACAGTTCTGAAGGCAGGGAAGTCCAAGATCAAGACACCAGTATCTGGCATCTGGTGAGGGCTTTTCTGCTGCATCCTTCAGAGGGAAGAAATGCTGTGTCCTTACATGGCAGACGGTGGAATGGCAATAAAAGGAACAAACTCCCTCTGTCAAGCCCCTGTATCAGGACACCTTTGTGAGGGGTGGGCCCATCATGACCTAATCACCTCTTAAAGGCCCCACCTCTTAATGTAATCACATTGGCAACACCTGAACTTTGGAGGGGACGCATTCAAACTAGAGCTGGGCTGTTTCAGTTTTGGGGCTGTTATGTAAACTGCTGCTACAAACACTAGTGTACAAGTTCTTGTGTGGACGAGTTTTCAACTATCTTGGTTACACACCTAAGAGTCAAACTGTCAGGTCACATGGTAACTCTATGTCTAACTTTCTGAAGAAACTCTAGACTGTTCTCCAACCTGGCTGTACCCTTTGCCATTCCCACCAACAGTGTTTGAGGGTTCCAGTCTCTCTACGTCATCACCAACATTAGACACTGTCTGGTTTTTGTTGGCTACAGTGATCTTAGTGGGGGTGATGTATGTGGCCCTGATTGTTAACAATGTTGGCCATCTTTTCATGTGCTTATTGGCTATTTGTACACTTCTTTGGAGAAATGTCTATTCAAACCCTGTGTCCTTATTTTAATTGGATTATTTGTCTTTCTACTAATTCGTTGTAAGAGTTCCTCACATATTCTACTTAAGATAGTTTTTTTCCAGACATAGGATTTGCCAGTATTTTCTCCTATTTTGTGGGTTGTGTGGTTTTGTTTTGTACTTCAAAGGGTCTCCTTTGAAGCCTTAAATGGACTTGTCTCCATTTAAGAACCCCACAAAGGGTCTCCTTTGAAGTACAAAGTTTAACATTTTGATGAAGTCCAACAGAGCTGTCTTTTCTTTCGTTGTGTGTGCTTCCGGTGTCAGCCTACTACATCTTACAGCTTCCTCGGTGCTGGGTCTCTGCACATGGCCGAGCTGGGCCCACTGGGCTATTTTCCACTCTTTCCACTCTTCAGGTGCGGACCTTTACCTCCCCTCTGGCCTCAACAAGACCTCACCCCCCGCACATCTGGTTAAAACCCCTTTGACCTTATGGTCGGTCCAGTTAGTCTTTTGTCTGTAATGCCCTGGAGCATGAATTCTGACATTAGACTCATCACACACAGGGTGGATGATCTTGCCTGAATAGAGCTCAGTTTCTTCCTCTTTAAAACATTGTGAGAATTATAGAAAATAATTCATGAAAAGTACTGGGCCGGGTGCCTGGTACACTGTAAGTAATAAATGTTCACTGTTCATGTAATGCAGTTTCTGGTTATTTCTTACTTTCGCAAAATGGACTGGTTTCTGTTGCTCCAGGGTTTCTGGTTCCTCGCTCTCCTTTTTTTTTCTGAGACGGAGTTTTGTTCTTGTTGCCCAGGCTGCAGTGCAATGACAAGATCTCGGCTCACCACAACCTCCACCTCCCGGATTCAAGCCATTCTCCTGCCTCAGCCTCCTGAATCGCTGGAATTACAGGTGCCTGCCACCACACCCAGCTCATTTTTGTATTTTTAGTAGAGCTGGGGTTTTACCATGTTGGTCAGGCTGGTCTCGAACTCCTGACGTCGTGATCCGCCCGCTTCAGCCTCCCAAAGTACTGTGATTATAGGCGTGAACCACCACGCCCGGCCTCTCTCCTGTCTTTGGTCAGTAACTCTGGCTCCACTCTATCCCCATTAAGCTCTCAGGATATTCTGCTTCTTCCTGTTCTCTGCTTACCTGGTGTAACAACGCCTCCTCCCTGCCTTACAGATCACCCCCTTGCCACCCTGAGTCCAGCTCTTCATCCAGACTCTCTCCTCCAGCTGTCTGTATTAATCCATCTCACCGTTGCTTAGAAGCAGTCAGAATTTTAGACTCCCTCTTCCCTGACGCTCCCCCTGGCCCAGGTGTGGCCTTTCCCTGGGCCTGGCTGCCTTTTTGACAAGTCCATTGAATGCTTCTTTGTTCACACCTGCCCGCCCCTTCCCCTGCTCTGCGTCTCTGTGTACTGCACTCCTCCCTCTCCCTGCCACTCCCTCGGCCTGCTGACAGTTCTTACCCACACCAAGTGGATGCCCACCTGAGAACCTCTCACTGCAGGCTCCTTCTGTCCGCAGTGTTCTTCCCCAGCTCTCTGCTTGGCTCAGTGCCTCGTCTCCTTCAAGCCTTTGCTCAGATCTCACCTTGGCAATAAAGCCCACCCTGATGATCCAACCTAACACTGTTACTGTCCTGTCCCTCACTGTGGCCATGTCCAATCACCCTTGTCTGCCTTAGGGCTTCTTCCACAGCAATTATCATCTGCTTTCTGCATAATTTGCTTCTTCATTATTTACCATTTAAATATTTTTAAAGACTTTTTATAAGAAGCCGGGCGCGGTGGTTCATGCCTGTAATCCCAGCACTTTGGGAGGCTGAGGCTGGCGGATCACCTGAGGTTGGGAGTTTGAGACCAGCCTGACCAACATGGAGAAACCCTGTCTCTACTAAAAATATAAAAAAATTAGGTGGGCGTGGTGGTGCATGCCTGTAATCCCAGCTACTTGGGAGGCTGAGACAGGAGAATCGCTTGAACCCAGGAGGCGGAGGTTGCAATGAGCTGAGATTATGCCATTACACTCCAGCCTGGGCAACAAGAGTGAAATTCCATCTCAAAAACAAACAAAAAAAAAAAAAAAAAAAACAAAAAAAAACCTATAAGAATATAAGCTCCCCATGGGCAGGGATCTTTGCCACTTTATTTTCTGACATAGCCCAAGTAAGTAAAGCAATGCCTATGGCGGCTGGGCAAATCTCTGCTGAATGGCTGAATGGTATGACCTGCAGTCGTCTGATGGCTAACAAGGGTTAGCCATCATGGGTCCCCTCTTTTGTGGGTTGCCTGTTCATTCATGTGTCACTCTGTCCAAGTTTCCTTTTTTATTGATTTGTAGGAGCTCCTTAGATTTTCATAACAGAAATCCTTTGTTAGCATGCCTATTCATTGTATTTATAGCTAGTGCCTGCTGCATGCATGGCGCGCGGTACCACAGAGGATACAGCCGTTAATATTGAGAGAAGTCACAAACACTCCACCAGCACCTTCAGGTTAGTATCAGTATGCATTGCAGTTTAGAATGGAACAGGGGATTGCCTTTTTAAAAGTTACTTAATTAAGTAATTACAAGGGAAAGAAACTGGCCAACTCACCCTGGCAAGCAGTCCCCACAGATGGCATCACTGGTGACTGAACAATTTGCCTTCTGAAAGCGGTTCACCAGTGCGCAGTCCAGACACGGCTTGCATTTCTGGAAGCCCCAGTCCTCCTTGAACCTGTGCAGCCGGCACGTCACACACTGTGCATCCTCCCCATAGCCGAAGCCACATTCCTGTGGGGATTAACGGGCAATAGAAAGCTATTCAGACTTTGCCAGCGTGAAAAAGGAAAGACCGCTGGGATGAAACGAAGACTTGGTCTAATAATTACCAAGTGCCAGTCTTCCTAGACACAAAGGCAGCTCTTTCAGCAAGTTCAAATGTGTCTTCCACTGCTAATGATCTCTCTTACTACGGTAAGTCCACTTAGTCATCCACTTTATTCAAGAAGCTGTGAGCATAGGAATAATCAAGGGGCTCTCAGGCTCCCACCGCTGAGTTACTACCAGTGGGTGGAAGAATTATGGCACTTTCTTCTCCTCTAATTAATCCAGTCATGTACATGCTCAGAAGCTAAAGCCAGAGAAACATTCTGACACTCACTTCCAGGGCAGAAAATCAGTACTCTGATATCAGGGGTGTTAGTTTAAAAAATGAGGATAAGTTCGTAACAATTTTCATTAGTGGACAAGCCTAGAAATCAGCCCAAATGGAGAGCTTCTTGAAATCGTTAGAAATTTACTATTTCCTGACAGTAGAAAGAGTCTTACACTTTTGCTGAAAGATGTTAACTTCCCATTGAGACAAACGCTGTGGTACTAAAGGCCTCAAGCTTCTCTAGATTTGAACATCAGAACATACTGTTTTCCAAGAATGGGCCAAACAAATGGCTCTTTGACCCACATACAATCATTTCTACAAGTTCAAGAATTCAGTAAACTATAGCATATTGTATAACGTAGCTGTAATGCAACCATAAAAAGAAGAATGTAGACGTGAGATGTGCTCATGACAACTTTTTTACAAATAAATTTTAATACAGAATTAGAAGTATGATTCCATTGTTTACAAAAACATTCATGTAAGTACCAACATTTGGCCAAGAACTTTACACCATTATCTAAATAATCCATATTCCTTCCCAATTTGGGGAGCACTGCCATTTTTTCCATTTCTTAGGTTGGGGGAAGGGAGCTTCAGAGAAGTTATGTACCTTGTGCTAGGTGACAGAAGTAGTGTTAGAACCAGGATTTGAACCTATGTCATCTAATTGCAGAGTCAGATTTCATTACCACTATACCATAGGGCCTGCCAGGTATTTTATATATACATATATGTATTACCCATAGGAAGGTGTCTGAAAGACTATACACTGTTGGTAACGCCTGTTGTTGATCTTTGTGATGGTTTCTACAGAACACTCATCATTAACAAAAAACAGCGGCTTACGAGGAGCAAGAAGGGCACTCACGCAGGCAGCAGGCTGGGCAAGCCCACAGATGCAGACTGGACACCACAGAGGAAGGAGGGGTTGCACAAAATCTCAGTTTCCTCATTTGTAAACCCTGGATGCTAGAATACGAGTCCCACCTTGTTCAACATTCCCGTTTTTCTGTAAAATTTATATATTTTAATTTCTTCGTCCATATTTATATACAAATCAACTAAGCAGTACTTACTGACCAAAAATTAAAAGAAAACCAACTTGAAGGGTAGACCTGCCTGTACTTAATAAATTACTCAACAAAGGATGCGGAGGAATCACTTCCATCTAGATTCTTACTAATTAACTCATTCACATTTTGGGTGAGTGATACTTTCTTTCCTCCTTTGAATTACTCTGCCTGTCTTTCAAACGTACATCAGGAACGCACACAACAAAGAACTAAGGAGGAAAAGGTGAAAGGTCAGCCTCCTCCTCACTCCTGAGAGCTCCAGCCACACAATGTTCTACATCAGAGGCACAGAGGGGAGAGGGGGAGAAAAACAACACTTGATTTAAAGAACTGATTAACAAGTTAGAATTTCTTTAAGACTGTTAAAAGGGATAACCTCTTTCAGGGGAGGGGAAGGTTAGAATTATGGGGTGTTTTCAAGTTTTATAATTCTGCAAAACATAATTTAATTTTTGCAGAAAGCATCCATTACTCTTGTAATAGGAAAACAATAAAGATGCATATTCAAGAAGAATTTCTCTGGGCATGTGCTGGGTCTTTGTGAGGTAATCATGTGGCTCTGGCTCTGTGCTGTGACAGCTGTGTTTCTGCTGAGCACTTTGGTTGCTGGGAGAGCTGTGTGCAGGCACAGGCTTTCTGAAGTACAGGAGAGAGCCTCCCACTCTCAAAGTCCCTTGGGATCAAAGCACAGGTACACGTGACTTCTGGGGGTGGTCTCCACATTGTTCCCATGCTAGCCATCTCTGGCAAGAGGAGAGTGTTTCAAAATCTCACTTTGATCTAGGCAGCTTGAGGCTGTAAGAGTCTCATGTACAAGTTAAAACACAACAAAGGAAAGGAAAAGCAGAAGTAGAAGAGAAAACAAAGGGAAAGAGCAAGGAGAATGCAGAGGAAGAGGTGCATTAACTGGGAATAAATGTCCTCTGAAATTCTGTTTCAAGCCAGGTTGATATAGGAAAAAAGTATGTGTTTTCCTACAATGGATCCAAAGACACATGAATTTCAATGCCAGCTCTGACACTTGTTGGCCAAGATACTTTAGGAATTCTCCGACCCTTAGTCTCTTCATCTGAGAGATGAGGATAAGAATACCTGCCCTACAGGTTGTGTGAGGAATAAATGGGAAACATATAAAGCTGCTAAACTCTAAATAAAGTACAGAATGCGCATTCTCTAAACAAATTATAAGTGTTACAATTTCAGATTTTCGATGGCCCAATAAACCAACTTTGCTGATTCAAGTATCATAAATCTTCTCTGGAAATAAAGGTAACATCAGACCCGAAATTCCATCTAAGATATTTTTATTGACTAAAAATCTTTCAAAAAGAAATCATAATTTTCTAAAAAAAAAAATGTTTAATGGAACACAAACTCTAATTCAACCCGATCTGAGTCAACTGCTGCACCATGCTGTAAGACAGCCCTGTGTCCCTGCCTGTCAGTCAACTGTCGCTCCCTGCCCTACTGACTGTCTCCAAGTCACCTCCTCCCTTCACTGAGAAACTGTATAAGTAACCCACAGGCTTAAACAGTTTGAGTGTCACATCTCTTTTGAAAATGAACATACAGCTTAATGTGGGGAGGTCTTTGTGCTTAGTTTTTGACACAATAATAAACTTAATTGAACATATCCCAAATACTCATGGAAACTTTTATAGAGACTATTTGGGAAATTGTATTTAAAATATGTTTTCTCTGAAGTATTTACTGTTTTCAAAAATATAATATTTTTGAAAGCTTAATATTAATTTGAAACTATTAAAAATAGCCCTCAGTTCATAAAAGTCTAAGAAATTGATGAAGTGGCCATTCTACATGCTGAATTAACTGGAAACATGAAATAACTAGAAATTTCAGAGGTGATTTCAAGGAATCAAATTACAGAATGGTGCCCATGACAGCAACCGCTTTTTGAGTTGACTGTCATATTTCTAATGCACCTTAAACACAGACTCTGTAAGTACTCGTAATCCAGGCTATAAACTGCACATAAATATTAAATTACCCCCAATATAAATGTCTGCTTTGATGTTTTCATTTCATTCAGTAAAACTGGGTGGTTGAAATGCCTTGAAATCTTCCCCATTAAGCTCAATACATAACTACCAAGAACAAAAGAAAGAGGCAAAACAGCTGAAAGGGAAGCTCAACAGCCTCCAAATGGTGACACTGGTTAGCACAGACTGACACTGCCTTCACAGTCCTGTGTCACTACCCTGGCCTGAGATCTTTGCTTTGCTTTTCTTTTTACCACTTGTATACTAAGAAACTATTACACACACGAGGTTTAAAAAGAATAATCAACAGTTCACCTTTCTTCCCATTCCTAGTCTTTAACTTCCCACTCCCCCCACACAGGTTTTGGGGTAACCTGCCAAAAATGTCCTCCTAGTGTGTGTGCATGTATTTAATTAACACTGTTCTGCAACTAGACTTCTCGTTTTCTCACTCCATGCATCTTGGAGAGTGCTCCATATCAGCAAATAGAGAGTATTCCCTTGCATGGATGGAGCTGGAGCTGTTCTGACCACTGCACCCCAAGTCCTGGCACAGAGAGGGCCTCCATTTTGGTTTGGCCCATTGCATTTGTATTGATCAGATGACCTAACCAGGCAGCAAATAAAAACAATATCAAATCTTTTGTTTTTCCTGCATAACTTTTGGATAGAAAGGAATAATTTCTCTAGGTATATTATTTTCTGCTGCAGGCAGACAAGTAAGCGAATAAATAATGAAATGAGCTAGGTTTGGGTTTAACCTTTTGAGAAGGAGTCTCTCTTTGGCCAAACTCTAGATAGGTTCCTATGAGCCACCGTTTGTTGGGGCCTGTTCTCAAGAGCCCAGTTTCCCAAAATCCTAGCTAAAGCTGGCCATGCTCAACATCTTCTCAGGTTCCTCAACCCTCACCATCCCCCAGGTGACGTCTGGTCACCTTGGCCTGTCTTCAGCAAGAATCCTGTGAGATCGGTTTAGCCAGAATGTCCCTCACCCCTGACGGTTCCTCTCCGTGATTTTTCATCCCCCAAACCCACCCTGCTCCTTGGCTATCAATCCCCACTTGTCAATGCTGTATTTGAAGCGGAACCCAGTTCCACACCGAGCCTTCATTTCCTCTACTGCAGTAGTCCTAAGTAAAATCTGCTGTTCCACTGTCCAGCTCTGGGTTTTCTTTGAATCTTTCCAAGTTGCACTAGGGTTGTCCCTCCCATCATGGCAAGAGATGGTTATGGCAAAAGGAGGACTGTGTGTGCGTGTGTGTGTGTGTGTGTGCGTGCGTGCATGCACGCGTGTGTGTGTCTGGTGAAGGGAGGGCAAAGAGAGTACAGGCAGAGTATGTCCATCATTAACCTGGGCTTCAGCATGAGGGACATGGGATTATGTTTATGGAGCATGGTCCACCGTTAACATTAATGGTAGAAATGCATTTCTGCTTTAAAATACTCGATAGCCTGTATTCTTGAAATTATGACCTGGCATGTTAAAAGCTTGAAGGAAGTACCTAGTACATCCCCAAATCCCTGAGAAGATATGTTTATCAATAAACTTTAAGATGG